TGTTGCAAACTTTTAGGTGATTTACGTAAATCCTTAATAAAGAGAGATAAAGAGAGAAAACGAGCGAGAATGTGAGAGGAAAAAACAAAAAAAAGGCGTACTCGTTCCGAAATTTTTAAATGCCCTAATTGAAATTATTATAATTTTTTTTTAAAGAGAAAAGTCTGCCTGTCTGTCTGTCTGTCTGTCTCTCTCTCTCTCTCTCTCTCTATCTATCTATCTATCTATCTATCTATCTATCTCACTGTCTTTCTGTTCACCTCTCTCTCTCTCTCTCTCACTGTCTTTCTGTTCATCTCTCTCTCTCTCTCTCTCTCTCTCTCTCACTGCATCTCACTGTCATTCTGTTTTTCGCTCTATTTCTCTCTCCGTCTTTCTTTTACTGCTTCTTTCTTTCACTTCGCCTTTCTTTCTCTGTTTCTCTCTCTCTCTCTCTCTCTCTCTCTCTTTGTCTTTCCTTCACTGTTTCTCTCTGTTTCTCCTTCCCCCCTCTCTCCATCTTTCTTTTGATGTTTCTCTTTGTTTCTCGCTCTCTCTTTCTCTCTGTTTCTCTCTTCCCTTCTCTCTCTCTCTCTTTCTTGGTATTTTTTTTTTCTCCTACAGAACGACTTGGACGAGAAGAACAAAAAAAAAAGGACTCTAAACTTTCTCTTCGATGGGGGCGCAAAAAGGGTGACACCCTTTCCTCTCTTTTTCTCTCATCTCCTTGATTGACGTCTCTCTTTTATTTTTTACCCAATTTTTCAAGGTGCACATCACATCACAGGCACAGGCACAGGCACAGGCACAGGCACAGACCGTGATTCAAATGCGATAAAAAATAAAATAAAATAAAATTTCACATTCCGAATTCGTAAAGTTACGCAAGGGATTTTCGATTATGTAAAACAACAAAAAAAAAAAAGAAGTCTGCTCTCATGCCTTTTGGGATTTTTCAATTTTTCGCGTTTCTTCCTGATCTTGTATCACGATTAAATTTCCATCCCTTAAAGTTAAAGGGTCAACAACATTGCAATTTCCACTCACGCACTCACGCACGCACGCACGCACGCACGCAATCGACAAATTAACAAACAAACCGTTTTACAAAATTACCAACTCACTCACTCACTCGTTCGTTCGTTCATTCATTCATTCATTCATTTGTTTGTTCGTTCTTATTAGAAAATCGTCCGGAAAAATTTCTTTTAAACTTTCAACTTTCCTCCTCATCATCATCATCATCGTCTCACGGGAGAGACGTTCACGTACCTGAAAAAAAAAACATTTTCCACATACGCCGCGGGGAAGAAAACAAACAACGTCGACAAACTACAAGAAAAAAAAACCCAGCTCGATTCGATCAACAATCGTCGTTATTAAACTCCTAACAGGTTACGGCTAAACAACCAACCAAACGAACAAACAAACAAACAAACGATCCAAAAATAAATTTTTCGCTTAAAAATAACCTTTCGGCTATGTCACGCCACGTAAGGATTTATCGTTTTGCAAGGAAATCATTCTTAAGAATAAATTTAAATAAAATAAAAAACGGTTACCGAGAATTTCATTCTAGGGCGTTTCCTATAGAGAGAGAGAGAGAGAGAGAGAAAAAGATTCAAGGTACAAGCAAACAAACGCGGCGGGGACGGACTGACTGACTGACTTGGTTGGAAAATGTAAAAAAAAAAAAAAAAACGCAAACGTAAATCATAATCAACCCGATCGAAATAAATATCAACTACGACAACCATCAAACAAACAAACGAACGATGTAATGGTAGTGTGAGAGAGAGAGAGAGAGAGAGAGTGAAAACCTCGACTTTTGTCTACGATTCGCAACAACAATACACGTCGACGACGACGACGACGATGACGACGACGTCAACGTTGACAATGTTGACGTCCTTTCGAATTTTTTCGCCGGGTGTTTGCCCCAATTAATTATCATTATCATTTTTTTCAAATTTCGAGACAACACCTTCGACTCCGTAAATTTTTTTAAAAGATATTAATAATAATAATAATGATGATGATGACGTCGTCGTCGTCATCGTCGACGACGTCAAACGCATAAACCGCACCACCTTGTCGTCTCATTGGAAAAAGACGACAAGGTGGTACGGAGTAATAATAATGATAATAATTACACCGTCAACAAACGAAAACAACTGGAAAAACATTTTATCCTTATCTCTCCGCAGTCTCTCTCACTCTCTCTCTCTCTCTTTTAATTTATAAAAAATCAATTTCAATAATGAATTATTATGTAAGAGAGGAAATTAAAAGAGGCATGGAATTCTGGTATTTCGGGTACTTGTTTCTTTATCGTCAAATTTTTTTTTGATAATATTATCATCATTATCATCATCATTATTATTACTGTTTTGGAAACGACACCGAACCGAACCGAACCGAACGGAACCGAACCAGTAAGAGTAGACTGAGAAAAAAAAAACCGTCGACGAAACATCAACGACAGCAGGATCGAATGCGTTCGTTTATCGTGTTTGTTTGTCCGTTTGTTTGTTTGTCATCGGATGTGGAAGAACAACAAAGATGTTTGTTGAACATTACGGAAGGAAGGAAGTTTGAGACGATCCGCTACGATTCTCCGATCTGAGAATACTTACGTCGTCAAGGGTAAAAAAAGAGAGAGAAAGAGAGAAAGAGAGAGAGAGAGAGAGAGAGAGAGAAAGAGAAAAAGAGAGACAGAAATCCGGAAGTCCTTCGAATAAAAAAAAAAAAAAAAAAAAAAAAAAAAAACTTTTTTTTTCCTCCTCGTCCTTCTCCCCTCCCCTCCCCGTTTCCGCTTCGCCTTGTTAATAATAAATCACTCGCAATACACGAGGTTGCGTGAGTGAGTGAGTGAGTGAGCGAGTGCGTTAGTGAGCTAGTGCGCGTGCGTCGCGTCATTGTTGGCGACGCAACAATGGTCGTACGCCGCCATTTTTTTTTCTGTCGTTTTTTCCCCTCCCCCTCCCCTTTCTCTTTTTTTCGTTCGGACGAAGACGACGACCGAGACGGCGCGATCATCGATAACGACGACGATGATGATGATGATGATAATAGTAATAAAAAAGAAATGGGGCAAAATGTAATCCGAGTAGAATGAATAATAATTAATAATAATGATAATAATAATAATGATAATAATAATGATAATAATGATGATAATAATAATAATAATAATAATAATTAATAATAATAATAATAATAATAATAATAAAATTTGACATCGAAAAACCTGCTTATGAAATCGTTATGAAATTTTTTTTTTTTTTTTTACTCTTCAAAGCGAAAATTTCCCCCTCCCCTTCTCTCTCTCTCTCTCTTCTTCGGTTTTCGCCTTCCCTCCCTCCCTCCCTCCCTCCCTCTCGCTTCCACTACTCGTTCGTACTTCCTCGCCCCCTTCCCCTCCTCCCGCTACCTCTACCGTTCGTTCTTTCTCGCCCCCTTCCCCTCCAACGTTTCCGTCGCGTCCGCCGCCATTTTCTTTCCTTTTCCTTTTATTATAATAAATAAAACCGTATCACATATCGCAGATTTTTTCGGTTTAAGCTTTTTTTTTTTCTTTTTTTTTTTATGGCGTTAACGATAGCAGACGACGACGAAACCATTCTTTCGTTCGTATATCGAAATAAATATTAAATCTATCGAAAAATCAAGGAAAAATAACGGAAAAATTTTTATTCAAAAAAAAAAAAAAAAAAAAAAAAAACGAAAAAAATGTTTCCCCCGCCCACTTTGCAAAAAAATTCGTACCCTGAACGCACTCGCACTCGCACTCACGCACGTTGGTACAACTCAACGGCCACAAGATGGCAAATTAATCACGAGTAAAATGTCAAGAATCAACATTTTCAACAATTATTATTATTATTATTATTATTATTATTATATACCAGAAATTGGCAAATTGATAAATAAGAAGAAGAAAAAATAAAAAGTAACGACCTTACACCATGATGATGATGATCATCATCATCATCATGATAATAATAATAATAATAATCTCAAAGTTTTTGCGATTCGAAAGCAGAGAAAAAATTTCTAGAAAAAAAAAAACGAAGAGAAAAAAAAAACTGTCGAGAGATTTATCATAGTGCATTGTTATAGCAGACGACGGAAGTTTTTTTTCCTCTTTTTGGAATTCTTTTACCACCATTATTATTATTATTATTATTATTATTATTAAATAATTTTTTCTAATTTCTTTACGCGTTATTTCAATTACTTTTCTTTCTTTCTTTGTAATGACACAAAAAATAATTTAGAAAGCCAACACACAATGCGCGTACTATGGTAATAGTAGTAGTTATTAATACATAACCGAATAAAGAAAATAATAATAATAATAATACTAATAATAATGATAATAATTTTGTGATTCTATGTGTATGTATGTATGTAATTTTAATTACTCACTTGCACAATATTCTCCAGAAACATCCGAAACTGCTCCCGTTGGCTACTTCCGACGAGTAAGTCACTGTCATTTTGTCATCAATATGTCACCCATAAAAAACACATAAAAAAAAAAAAAAAAAAAAAAAAAAAAGAAAAGAAAAATTGTAAAACTCTAAACACATTTAATTTATTTACTACATATATATATATAAATAAAAAATATTAATAATTGTTTTAAAATATTTTTTTTTTTTTTAGATAAGAAAAAAACGAATAAACTAACGTCATTAATTCATCACGAACCGCCAGGTTGTCACTGAGGAAACAGGTACGAAATCGTCGTCGATCGCGATGCATCCTTGAAGAAGGCGAAATTTTTTGTAACGAACGTTAACGATAAGTACGCCTCCTATCGTTTAATTAAATAACTAATTTGTAATTGTTTTAATTAGAATTTTTTACGATAGATGGCAATCCCGTTGTAAATTATCTGCGAATTAAAAATGGCGTTTGAATGTTAAATAAATGAAAAAAATAACAAATGCTATAGAAAATATTTATTTAAATTAAATTAAATTAAATGAATCCCTAATAATGACTTTATCTTTTTACATTTTTATATTTTCTTGTATTTCTTTTAACGTTTTCGCGGATTTGATCAAAAGGGATGTTTCCTTTTTGTTGAGTGGTAACGAAACGACGTGAGTTATACCTTCTGAACCGAGAACGCAGGGCAACGATAGAAAAATCTCATCTTCTATACCGTAATAACCCTAAAAACAAACAAAACGTAGAATAAATAAATCGATACATCGATCGATTTATCGATATATCGAACGCACAACCTTTAAATTCGTCGACACTGCGTGAACGTTTTGAGTGTTCAAAAGTATGCTCATGGATATAGATGACAAACTCAATCCTATGGCCCAAGACGTGTAACCTTTGAGTTTGATTATTTCGTAAGCACTTCGTACGACTTGCTCGTGAGTTTCCTCCCAATTTTCCAAATCTTCCGACGTTCCAATGGTCGAATTTAAATCCTGAAGTCTGACACCGGCAACGTTTACACCCGACCAAACGGCAACTGGAAGAACAAAAACGAAAAATCAAAACGAACGTAAATAGAAGGTAAAAGGTAAAAAGGGGGGGCATAATCCAAACCGCTTGTATCTCCATGTTCTCCTACGATCCAACCGTGACAGCTTGTCGGCGAAATACCCAAACGTTCAGATAATAATACCCTAAATCTGGATGTGTCTAAATTAGTGCCAGAACCAATAACTCTATGCTGAGGTAGACCGCTCAATTTCCATGCCACAAAGGTTAAAATATCCACTAGAAATATTATTAATTTTTGTTTTTTTCCTTATTATTATTATCATTATCATTATTTACAAGAAAAGTTTTTTTTTTTTTTTTTTATACCTGATTATTTACCTGTTTCACCTCACCTGGATTGCTAACAATCAACAATATCGTATCCGGACTGTGTTCGACTAATTTCGGTATTATTTCCTTAAATATGTTTGTATTCCTCTGTACCAAATTCAATCTCGATTCTCCATCTTTTTGCCGCGCACCTGCCGTCACTATGCAAATTTTCGATCCGGCACTCAATTGGTAATCTGACAGAGAAAAAGGAAAAGCGTCATCGTTAACGGAAGAAGCAGCAGCAGCAGGAGCATCAGGAGCAGCAGGAGAGGGAATTTTTTACCTGTTCCTCCTTCGATTTTGGCACCCCTGAGAAAAGTCGTACCGTGTTGCAAATCGAGAACTTCACCTTTGACCTTATCTTCTATCATGTCTATCAAACATATGTGACTCGATACGTTTTGGGTTAATATGCTGTAGGCGCATGCCAAACCCACTTGTCCGGCACCGACGATTGTTATTTTATTATTAGACGTGGATTTTATTTTACTCACTGGATTCAAAAGTAATTTTTGCGTATCCATCCTGTTTCGAACCTGACAACAAAAAAAAAAAAAAACGGAATCACAAAATTGCCAAACTCAAAAAAAACGGCAGGAAGGAAGATGAGAGAGGTGGAGGGAGAGAGGGGGAGTAAAGAGGAGCAGCAGAAGAAAAAGAACAAAAACAAAAACAAAAAATTTAAAAAAAAAAAATCTAGTGCCACGCTATAATTATTAATAATCAATAACAAAAAAAAAAAAAAAAAAAATTTTGGTAGAAAACAAGTTAATTAGCCATTGGGTATGTGTGTATAATTTTGTCTCGTGCCACTTTAAATCCTTTGTCGCATAATAATAATAATAATAATAATAATAATAATAATAATAATAATAATAATAATAATAATAATAATAATCATCTACACGAGCATCATCTTTTTTTTGTTGTACAAGAGAATAAAGAAAGAAAACACGAAATGGGGAGAGAGGGAAGGGGGGAGGGGGTTAAATGGGTCAGATAATGATGATTTGATGTGATCTCTCACTTTTTTTTTTACCCGACTTTTATTTACCTCCCTACCAACCTCCCCCCTCCAACAAAGTCCATCATCATTATGATTTTCCTTTTATCCCGGTTTCATTTTTTTTTATTCCCTTTTTCCTACGGGAATTCTATAGAATACGATGATGAGTTTTAAGGTTTAAAAAAAATCACTCTCTCTCTCTCTCTCTCTCTCTCTACTCTTACGTCATCAAACTCGTATAATATACAAAATTCTACCTACGACAAACAAAATTAAAGGGAAGGAAAAGAAAAAAAAAAAACATGAGAGAAGATTTGAATGATGAACTCGAGGGCTAATAATGAAGACATCAAATCATTATTATTATTATTATTATCATCATCATCATCATCGCCATCATCCCAAGTCGTTGTTGTTGTTGTTATTCTCTTTCAGTAAATTTTAATTTTTACGTAAGCTAAAAACGTGAAAATGATTTTTTTTTAAACAAAAAAAAAAAAAAATAAAATAAAATAAAACAACGAGCGTTTGTTAGAGGAAACGTTAGAAAACCTGTATTTTCAGGTTTATTTTTTTTTAGTAAATATTTCTCCGCCTTTACGGCAAAACGTAAGATTTCGTGATAAAAATCTTTTGAAATAATTTTTCGAAGTAGAAAAAGAAAAAAAAGGTTTCAAAGATTTTTTTTTTTCGAAAACTTCTTTCGTATCGTCACGATTCGCCCCCACCCCCACTCCCGTCCCCCACGTTTACATTTACGATCGTTTTTCTTGTTTGTTTGTTTGTTTGTTTTCGTCGTCTCGTTTGTAGTTACGTATACTATCTCACTATAAGTGCGAATAAAAGAGAGAGAGAGAGAGAGAGATGGGAAAGGCACGTGAGAGAGAGAAAAGCTCGTCGAGCATGAATGAAAATTTCTAAAAGACGTCTTCTGCTTTTTTTTGGGGGTAAATTAAAAAAAAAATGATCGGAAAGGCGTGAGGCAAAGTGTAAAATTCCCCCCCCAATCTCATCTCCATCCTCCTACCCCCCCCGGGGAGTCATTTCAAAACGAAATTTTACGTTTCGTGTGGGACGATTTTGAATTTTTTTTCGAGTGGAATCCACCGACCGAAAATCCACTTCAACTTTTTCTTTCTTTCCCAATGACCAACAAATGGTTTCTTTTCTCTCTCCCTTTTCTCCCACCCCCCCCGAAAAAATAAATAAATTTCATAACTCAACCTCCTCCCTCTCTCCCTCCCTCCCCCTCCGAACAAAAAAAATAAATAAATAAATTTCATAACTGACCCTCCCCCTCGAAAAACAAAACAAAATAATTTCGTATCTCAACAATTCTCATCTTCGACTTGATGCGTGCGTGCGTGCGTATGCGTTTACGCAACGACGTGTCAGAAGAAGAAAAAATGATTACAAAACAAATGGCTCTCATCCAAAAAAAGTACAAAATCCCCATTTTCGATTAAATTATTTCGCGAGTAAAAAAAATTTAAATGGATTCGTCCTCGAGATGGTGGTGGTGGTGGAGGTGGCGGTAGCGGCGGCGATGGTGTCGCTGGTGGTGGTAGTAGTGGAAATATCGAGTAAAAAAAAAAAACAAAAAAATCAAGTAGTTGAAAAAAAAAACCTGAATTCACATAAATCCTTAAACGTATCAACAGTAATTACTCTTTAGTTGGCAGATTTATTGGTTGTGTTCGTACCTGATTTTTTTTTTTTTTTTTATACCTAAAGTACGAAACGATGAAAATAAAGACTTTATTATCATCATCATTATTATTACTTGCAATTTAACGTACAGGTTTCCTTATTATTTAACAGTTCCTCCCCTCCCTTTTCTTTTTTTTTTACACAAATTTTATATATGTTTCTATCTTTTTTTAACTCGTTTGTTTTTCTCTCTCTCTCTTACCCCTCCTCTCTCTGTCTCTCTCTTACTTTTCGTTACACATTTCGATTGAAAAACGTTAAAATTATTCGAGGAACGTTTATGACTTAATTTCTTAATTTGAACCACAAACTCGAGGGAATACTGGAATGTGTTGAGAAAATGACCAAAACGCGCGTGGACGAAAACAAGAGAGAGAGAGAGAGAGAGAGAGAGAGAGAGAGAAAGAGAGAGAGAGAGAGAGAAATTGCCGGTGATAATAATAATAATAATAATAATATCAAACAACGAGATAATAATGATGATAATAAATGATAATACAAGTTTCCGGACACACACACACAAAAACGACATCGACCCGAAAAAGTTTTTTTCTCTCTTTCTCTCCCCGCACGCACTCACGCACATACGGAGACATAAATACATATCGAAAACCAATGATGCCAACTTAAAATATTTTTTTATTTTCCTCATTCATCCTTATATACGATTAATGATTAATTATTCCAGCCGTACCGAAAAAATAAAAAATAAAAATTTTCCTCATTTGAAATGTAAAATTATTATCATTATCATTATTATTATTATTACTACATTTTCTCCTACCTTTTAATAACCGAACGGTTCAAATTTGAGTTTTCCCGAAAAACGGAAATAATTAAAAAAAAAAAAGGAAGCGTTTAAGATTATTCTCTTACGTGTCACAAGAAATTTCCTTTAGGGCTATATAACAAAAAAAACCGTTATTTTTTTAAAAATTCGAACGCCGTACGTATCGCGAACGTTTCAAATCGAACTGTATATGTAAGAACACACAAACACAAACACAAAAAAAACATTCTTCATTCCGTTTGAAAGTCATTTTGAAGGGCAAACGAAGCGAAATTTTTGTTTTTCTCTCTCTCTCTCTCACTCGAACGTTAAACGGTTTCGTCCGTTCGTTACGTTCAACGTCCGCTCCGGATTTTTTTTTATTTTATGCTTTTTCATTTTTATTTTTATTTCATTTTTCATGTCCGAAAAAAAAAAACAAAAATTTCGGTTCTTCCCCCCTTCGCCCCTGTTTCCCGCCTCTCTCCCTCTTCTCCCTTCTCTCCCGGATCGCGAACAGATGATGATGATGATGATGATAATCTTGCCGTTCGTTCTACTCATATTTTTTTTCGAATTTCAATAATATTATGGCAGTTCATAAAAAAAACAAAAACCCGAACGTTCGGTATAAATAATAATGATAATAAACGGACGATTAAATTACAAAAAAAACTGCGAAGGTGGCGCCGACGGTGGCGGTAATAAAAAACTCGACAACCGGAAACCCTATCGACCATTTTCCAATAATTTAATCCATAGAAGAAGAAAACCACCACCATCACCACCCGATCGATAAAATCGATTTAAAAAAAAAAAAACGTTTCCGCTTAAGCAGAAAACAAAAAAAAAAAAAAAATTTAACAGGATCATGTTTGATCCAGGTATATGATGATGATAATAATAATAAACGAACCTGAAATAAACCAATTTTTTAAATAAAGACATTAAAAAAAAAAAAAAGTAAAGTAATAATAATAATAATAATAAGGTTTCAGTAGCGGATTTTAATTAAGTTTTTAACAAAAAAAAAAAAGTAATAATAATAATAATAATAATTCCAGGCGTACCTGATTATTGCGTACCTGTTTTTTTTTAAAATAATGATTGAAAACACACCTGACTGACGATATTCTATTAAAAATTCATTCTTAGAAGTTTTTTTTTAAACCGTAAAAACTAATTTCGACGTGTCAATAAATCGATTTTTCTTTCCTTTCCCTTCCCCCCACCCGCCCTCCCCCTCCTTCTTTCCCCGGCGTTTTTTTGAAACCTACGTGCGTCATATAGTATAAAATAAATTTATAATGATAATAATAATAAAATAGAGTAAATTTAAAAAAAATTTGGGTCGACGCGATCGAATAAATAATTTTATTATTATTATCGATTCGGAATTTTTTCCGACGAAAAAAATCAGACGACGTTACAGGAGCTTCCTCCCCCTCCCCCCCTCGCATTTTTTTCCCCGCAAGATGACAACAAAACAAAAACAAAAACGAAAAAAAAAAAACCGAACGAAAATCGTTAAACAATTATATATATTTTAAGGCCGAATCTTTCGAGTTTTTTTGTTTTGTTTTCCTCAATTCTCTCCCCCTCTCCCGCGTCTCGTACCTCGTACCTCCCTACCCCCCCGTGATAGATGGTTCAGGTACCCATTTGTACAAATAAAGACATCAACGAAATGGCGTCGTCGTCACACACACGGATCAACCTTGTTTCTAAGAAGGTATCATCATAATAGAGATGTATTCCCGTCTTAACCCTGGGCGATCTCTCTCTTTCTCTCTCTCTCTCTCTCTCTCTCTCTCTCTCTCTCTCTCTCCGTACCTGAGCCCCCCACAGACTGGGGCCACCTTCGAGAGAAGTTCAACCTGTTTCAGGCAGATTACTTCGCATCTAAATAAAAAAAAAAAAAGCGGTTCGACGAAATATCTAGTTCTTTGACTTTAAAATCTCGCGAGAATTATTCCTTCTCTCTCTCTCTCTCTTACTCGTTTCTTTTATACCTTCCTCCCTCCATCTCTCTCTCTCTC